GCCTAAGGCCTTTTCGTGGCTAGCCAGGTCTAGGCAGATCATAAGCCAGGGATAGGAAAAAAAAATAACCGAAATAAAAATGAAACTGCCACGGGACTGGGGCAGGATTATACACACACACACACACACACACACACACACACAGGACGCCCGCCTACAGCAACTGTATTTACCATCAGCATTGTCAGTAAGCTTTATCCCATCCTCAAAATCCTGGGGTGCCTCAGACAATTCAACAGTCAGATCCTAATGTTTAACTTTTATTCAGAGAAGCGGCCTTTCGCTTTTTCACAGCCGTTTTTTCTTTCTGCATCTGCACGGAGCTAGCTTTGGTTGGCGCGCCAGTACCCGCAGACTGCGGCGCTAACCTGCTGCAGCCGGGAACCAGGCCGGCCAAACGCCGGGTAGGCAATCACCAATCAGAGGACACAGTATGTATTTCATAAATTTCCACTGAGCCTGGTGCCTCTTAAAACCCTGAGGCCCGCCAGGCTACGGAGAAGGACCTCTGAGATACTCTCACTGTCTTTCCCGCGCCCGCCCGAGCAGTCTTTTGGAGAAGCCGCTAGGACCCTGCCACCATGGATTGGGGAGAGTCTCGAGATCGGTCTCAGAGAAGTCTGGTTCAAGAGTTGGCTTGCTCCCGCCTCTCACTGAACAGCAGCAAAGAAAACTTTCCAGCCAGGATCCGCCGGAGCAGCTGTTCAGTCTGCGGCCTTGGAAGTATATTTCAGGCGCCGCGGCGCCATCTGCGCTTGAACCCCAGTGTCCGTTCTCTGTGGCTTCCCCAGCACTAGTTTGATACTTTCCCGCCCAAATCCTCAGCAGGGTTTGACCGAGGTGGGTCTCCTGCGGAGCAAAATAATTCAAACCTTCTGCAGAGGGATTTCCCCTTCCAGAGCTGCGGGCTAGATCCTACCAGTCCCAGCACCCCAGAGGCCTGGGGAGGCGGCGGCGTAGGCATACGAGGGTGGGCATACAGTGAGGCAGGCACACCCAAGGACACGGGCAGATGGCACTCCACGCACATGGGCACACGCGTCAGGCGCTCGTATTCTAGAGCTCACCGTCTGCAAAAATCCC